AGAAGGTTGAAAGGGGAGAGGAAAGAAGTGCTGAAGCTAGCACTGTGGTCAAGTAACTGTGCCATAGCCTTACTGCCAAGCTAGAAAATTTCTCTCATGGAAACAAAATCAGTCAGGCATACTGGTGCAAAGCCATAGTTTACACATTTATATGAGCGCTTAAGCAGATGTAACTTCATTTTACATGATCAAGAGTTAATGCTTTACATTTTGCGTTATGTTTAAACAGCCTTCATTAAAATCCATCTGCTCGTTTCATACGTGCTGCAAGCAAAATAACCACTCTTTTACGCTGTGTTGCAAAGAAGAATTAATTCCTCTGCATAATTATGACTGCATATTTTTGATATTCTGTGTTTAAATAGTAATTCAAGGTCCCATTTCAAGGCCCCATTTCTAAACTTTTTTGAAGCTCTGGATTGTCTAATGTCGCTCTGTTTCAAATATTCTCTTTTTCCTCAGAAACTAAACATTTATCTGTCACGTCTGCACAACAAAATTGCCTATTCTTGGAGCTGTGGTTAAACGACTGAGACCCAGCCTTCCTCCCCCTTTCCCTCCCACACTTTTCCTCTAAATTTCAATAGTTATAAAGAATTGTCATGGCAATAAGAGCCTCTGGGAGACAATGGTAGAGACTGAAATTTCCCTTTATTCCACAGTAGATTTGCCTTCGGTATTACAAACTTCATCATGATAGTGTATGCCTGTGGGTCTGACCATGGTATGCCACAAAAGTAGTCCTGACTCTATTTTCACTTTTGACCCTGCTGATTGGATTAACAAATTCAAGACAAAGTGTTAATTGTAGCGCTTTTTTGCATGCTGAATACTATTACCTTTTTCTGGGCATGATCCTTGGGAAATAGGAAGTTTTATCAATGTCATCTCAGATGCCTTGAAAATTTAACCTAAATTGTTTACTTTTAACTTTTGAAGCTCCTCTATTTTATGTCCATAAAATAAGCTGTTCCTGGATTTTTCATGTAAATGGTAAGATTGTGTAATATTTGTTTATAGTACTAAGGTTTCCTCCTGTTTTCCATCATCTTAAGACAACTAGACATTATTAATTGCTGTGGAAATGTTCTTTATGGATTTTAGACTATATTGTGCTGGTTAATGTTCCACACCATGGGTGAAATTTAGCCCTACCACCACTACCCAGCACCTTGTGCTCTAGGAGTCAAACAGTGTCCAACAGTGCATGTTGGTGGAAGAGACAATTTACTCTCCATGTAACTGCAATAGCATAGTGGTTAAGGTAAAAGCAGATACCAACCTGAGTCTTGCTTAAGCCAAATCAGGTGTATATGAGCACTAAGTTCTCAAGGTGATGAAGACAGCAGTAGTCTAAAATAGTTACACCTTTGCTTTTGTTGCCTGGGGAAATCCAACTACTCTATTCAGTGAGGAAATCTAGCTTTGGTAGCTTACTTTCATTCTTTTTGTGCTTATTCACTGTACCATAACCTCCAGCAACCACATTAGATTAATTGGGTCCAAAGAATGCAGATTTTCATAGACATTTTCCATAGTCACATTTCAACTGTATAAGATTAAACTCTGTGTAAACATCCTTGTAGCTACTATAATGGAGGGGATCTTGCAGAGAGAGAAAAAGTGGCAGGAAAACCCCAGGAGTTCTAGATAAAATTTAGGGTGCTGTTCTATGTGCAGGGAGAAGAGAGCAGAAACAGGGGTGGCAGGGCTGCGAGGAGGCAACAAGCTGTTGTAAAATCAGCCAATAACTTACAAACTACGTGAGTCGGTAGCACAAGCTAATATCATTCTGCAAAGTGCAGCAAGAGAATCCTTGAGTGAGCTGTGAAAATGTCAGACTTTCACCTTTGGAAAGCCCATGGGGAGAAGCACATTTCAATCTCTCCTCTGCAGCTCTGCCATCCTAAAGGCAAGCTGCCACCACTAGAAAGAACTTGGCAGAGGAGCTGCATGAAATAGGGAGTGTGTTGATCATGGAGGTGATGAGTGGAGAGGAGATGTAGTAATTACTGATCTATCAAATGCTTGCCTCTGCTCAGGAGAAGTGTGGGAGCAGACTTGCAGGGGTGGTGGTATTCAAGACTGAAAAACTTGGATAGAACTGGTAGGAAGTGATAACTTTGTGCCTGTGGAATACTGGTCCTTCAGATGTGCTTTTATGGTGAAACTAAGAAGCCCAAAGTTCTGTAAGTTATTGAGGAAACTTTTTTGTTTAACTAAAATTAACCACAAACAGCTGGAAATTTGCACAGAACGGCGACAGTAGGAAGGAACTCATTTTAATGGAATGTCTGTGCTGCAGATTGGCAGAATGAGGCTGAAAATACAGAAAAGCCAGGTCTTCAAAAAGACCCGTGGACATCAGCATTCCTATGTGGTGGATTTCAGCATGAGACCCTTCTGTACCAATGCTCACTGTCCCTGAAAAATGAAAGCTTTTTAAAATGTCTTACATAGGGCTCTCTATGTGCTCTGGTACATTGAAAAGTGGTAAGCAATTCCTTCAGTTTTTATAGGCATGACTTCAACAGCACTGAATAAACATATATAATGGTTCAGATGTGGTGGCTGAAATGAAAAATTCTAATATGCACACCAAAAGCTTACTCACAGGCAACATATTTTTCTAATACATGGATGAAAAGAAGTGTATCCCCATGAAAAGTGAGGTGTTACTCATTTGAAACAGGACTGTTAATGATGCTTTCCAAACACCAGTTAAAATGGCTGTAGGTTACATGATTTGTAGACCGTTTGTGGGGTAGCCTAGAGACTAGCACTGATCCATTACAGGAAACCTGATGGATGCTCAGCCAAAGAGTTTTCTTTAATCAGGAATCTCTTTGGGAAGAAAAGGAGAGGGAATGTGTCTGAGTGCTCTAACACAGCCTCTGTGGCATGAGCTTGTGATGACAGCACCAGTCACTACGACTTTGTAAGTTTTTCAAGGAATATGACAGTATTAAATATTTATGACAGCTAATACTCCCTGTAGTAGTCTTACTACTGAACCCATTTTGAGTAATGTAAATGTTCATGTTGCCTAGCTCCTTAAAAGGTAATATGAGATATTCAGCAAAAAAATTGGTGCGAATTAAATACTGTTTGCAGATATTATTTTGAAGCTAAATGGCATGGTCTAGTGGAAGGTGTCCCTGCCTATGGCAGTGGAATTGGAATTAGATGGTCTTTAAGGCCCCTTCCAACCTGAACCATTTTATGATTCTACGGTGAATTAAGGCTCTGCAAGTTTAAGTTCTATTACCAGCTTTTTTCATAACTTTAACAGCTGAAAAAGTAAATTTAATACCCTGAGCTCAATTTTTTCCATGCTATACCTCTGCAAGGAAACCTTTCTGTTCTTGAGATTTTCTAGCTTCTGAAATGTGGTTAGGAAAATTATGAGAATTTGACCATAATAAATACACTTATAAAAGTTATTTACAAGGTCTAGATCTTCATCCTCTGGAATCAGATGATGAAAATTGGCAGGAACACAGCTCTAATTTGGTTTTAGAAAGCCCTGTGAAAACTTGCCTAATTTAGGCAAGGTATAAAGCTTTGGGGAAAAATTAAATAAATCTTTATGAATAGACTGAAAAGAGGCTTGGCAACTTCAGCTCTCCAAAGACACCTTCTTGCATTGCACATACTCAGTTCCCTCACAGATCCAACCTACAACCAAGCCCTGAAACCTTCATCCCCGCAGAGGTTTCCAAATGTCATCAAGTCTTGCATAAGTACAACTTTTGTTCCTCATAGTTTTGATGACTCTGGGAGGTGGGAGGCTTCTTTCCAAGGTTTCAGCATTCCCCTAGCCAACCTGTGTAGATAAGCAGCAAGGGGTTATTTCATGTAAGTGCAGAAATATGAGTGGGAAAATGGACAAAAGCAGTGTGAGAGGCAAAACCAGGATTGCACAATGGATCATAGAGGGAAGATGAAAGCTGGGGTTAAGAGTTGATTTTGCAGAATGGCATGATATGAGAATAGAAGAGTGGAGAAAAATATTTTACAGTTATTTCATAACTTGCATCTCTGATTTTGCAATGTTAACATTTGTTTTATGTTGATATGGAATCTGAAGTCCTTCAGGAGTATAAATTGACAGATAGGCTTTCATATATACACAGCATGGTTGGAGTACCACTGACCTTATGACATCTAGACATTAGACATTTAGCTCTGAGTGTGACTGGTATTTCAGAAGTGGATGTCATCTGGCCAGTCTTAAAGTTTAGGATTAGAAGAAATGAGCTGAGTGTGCATATCTCTATACTTCGACTCGAGAAGTCGACTAGCTCAGATGTAGACACTGAACTGTCAGAAGTGTGAAGCAAAGTGAGAGAATCCTTTGTGAATTTTACCTTCAAATCAACACCCAAGAAGTACCTAGCAGAATTTGTGTTCACATGACTGTGAGTAGTTTTTGATCCTGTATTTTACAATATAGGGTCATGGTCATTATATTCCATACAAACACACCCACTCACTGAAGCCACACTATGAAATGTGTTCTATCTGAATAAATTGACATTAACATTAGCTGTTAGGAGAGGGATTCTCTTGTGCCAGTCATGTTGTTTTAACACAGGATTAGGAATATTTAGAGCTGTCCATCCCTCCTAAAGTAATTTTGTGTGACAAAGAAAGAAACAGTAGTCTTGCCAGGAGGTACAGGATGCCCACAATCTTGGGATCAATCACTCAATTCACCCAGTCTAGTCTTTGAGCATGCTGCAGAGTCAGAAATGTGGAAAGCAGGTTAAATTCAGCTTAGAGAGTTGTTAATATTTATTTCCCACTTCACTGTACTGTTAACGTCACTTCTGTGCAAAAGGATAAATGCTTCAAATCAGCAACTGACAGGAGAAACGGAAGACAAAAAGCAGGTGAAGGATGCTAGGAGAGGCTAAAGAAGTGAAATCTGTCTCTTGCTTTGGAACATGAACTCTAGTACTTTATACCACTGTGCTCTGTACATCCTGAGTCTGGCAATGCTTGTAAGTAATTGCATGAAGAAAGGCTTTTTCTTCATTGTTTTTCAAAAATTGTTAATTTTCTTCTTGGAACAGATGGTCAGATACAGTTTTATTTTTTTGCATGCTTCTCTTTTATCTTTATTTGCTTTGGTTTCCAGTTAAACAAGGCAAGATGCTATGAAAAGTGTGAACTGCGGCAGAAGGGACACACGTTCTAGGAACTATATCTCAGTGCATTTCACTGCTATCTTACCACACACTCACTAAGGAGAAACAACATAATTGACAGAACCCCCCCCTTTTTCGTGTGTAGGCTTTAAAAGACAGTGACAAAGGAGAAGAAATTGGAGGAGAACTGTTACATCAGAGCAGCTGAGTTTTGGTAGAGTTTTCTGACATTTCAGATTATGCAGTTTTATTAGTTACAACTTCATCTCCCTTGTTGATACCAGCTGAAATGTTACAGGTAAAAAATGAGTCCAACCAGCAGGGATACTTATGGCAGAATGAGAAATATCCAAATGCATTAAAAAGCCTAGAGGTCTTGCTGATATTTTGCTTTAGACAATGTCTAGTAAATGAGCATTCAGGATCACACAGGTGTCAGGAAAGATCTGTGAAAAATGGTGGAAGGATCTTTGCTATTGAGGGTTGTTCCTTTTTCAGCATCTTCCCTTTGTGATCCTTGTGCTATATTCTTTCCTTTTCCCTGGAAATCTATTCTCTGCAGGAGTATTTCATGAGGGGTGATACAGTAGCTTGGTTTCTGTGTGTCAAGAGAAATAAACCACTATGAAATGACTGAAAACACTTTTTATTGGTGTGAAGCTATTGTTTCCTTTCTCTTGTCTGCATGACAGATTCTGCTTCCCTCTAGTAGGAGCAGAAAAGAATGATTGCTCATAAGAAGAATATCAGGATCCAGTGCTAGTAGTTAAAAATATCACTGAGGGTCTCTGTAAGAACCTGTTCCATTTACCCCACAGAAACAGCACTTCTAAAAAGGTGGATGTGGTTTGTAATACAATTGTGCACCGATGAAAAACAAGTTTATGTGTACAGTAAAAACCTCATAGTGTGTTGCATATTTTGTTATAATAGAGGACAGGTAAACAACTCTTATTTGAGTAAGAAATGGTGGAAAAGCAGCCATCTGTTTTCATTGTTGGTGCAATTCGATATGCTTTCCCTGGAAGAGCTGAACTCAACTTTCAGAGAAGTCTTAAATGCTTAAGAGGGTGACTCTCAGCTTCCATAAACTGAGATTTCTCAAAGTCATTGCTTGTATGGTGCCTACTGTAATGTGAAAAGAATGCAAATATGGATCCATTCTGATGTATGTCATACAAAAAAGAGGAAAAGCATCATTAAAGCAGCAAATTCTGCATGATGTTATGAAAGCACTCAGCGTAATTTAAAAAAGAGAAGTTTACTTTCTTATGTGTGCATTTCATGTCTCTCTTTAGAGACTGACCTGAAAGAGGGTTTTATTTTGTGGTTGGTTTTTTTTTCATTTTTATCACATTAACAAGACTTTCATCAGGACTCCTCTGACAAGGGTAAAAATGTTTTGGTGGTTGTGCTGACACACAGCTCCATTCAATACATTAACTGATGGACACGGAAACTGTAACTTAATATTCTATTTGGGACACATCAGCATTTATTTAATTTGCAGTTTAGTTTTCCTCATCAACAAGAAGACTTCTGTATGAAGTTATTCAGGAGGACAACCTGAATTATTAGCTATGTTCCTCTCAAAAAATTTTCTATTTTGGCTCCTGTTGCACAATTCCTATAATTTTTGACCTTCTAAAAAGATTATTGGAGAAATACCCATTTCTGTATCTTACCTGCAAATGAGGGGCAAATATTACTACAAGAAAAGCACCTACACTTAGAGTTTATTCAAGCAGTGGTTAGCATTGTCTTGAACATAAACTGTGAGAGCATCTCTTAAGGTCAGGTCTTCTTGAAGGAAGAGGTAATAATTTAAATACCTGGCACTTGATCAGCCTCACCTTTTTATTTGAGATGCATGTGGTAAAGTGTTCTCATGACTCTGGAGACAGAAATAAAAAGAAAAAAAGGTTTCCTGGAGCGGTGAATGAGCCAAACAAGCTTTGTTCTTGCCATGACAATTTCAGTGACCAGAGAGAGTTTTCACAGGCAAAATCTAGTCATTTATTTGCCAGGAGAAATAATTTAGGGCTGTGCAAATGGGTACATTTCCTGCCTACTGATTTTTTTCTGGGCACAGTTCACCTAACCAAGAGAATGTTGTAAAATAGTTTTTAAATAAATGGGTTGACTAATAAAGCTACTTTTTGCGATAGCTTCTCTACATGGTGGGTAGTGAGCTTTTCAGCATAGATGACTTCCATTGTCCAGGGTGAGTATAAGGGGGGAAGAATATACACTGGCATGAGAAGAAATATCGAGTAAGCAAAGATGTTCAAGATAGCTGCCAATTTTCTGTCATCCTGCCTACCATTGCATATCTTAGTGGAGTTGAGGAGGGCTCACTAGACTACCTGTTTTTACTGATCAGGGCTGAGATCACTGAGACATCTTACATATCAGATCTCCAGCTCCTGGAGACAAGGCAATGGCTGGCCTCTGCTCCATCCATTTGTAGTTACCTTCCTCTCACTTACCTCAAACTTCATTCAGCCTTTAGTATGGGGTCCTCCCCTTTATTGCTTCCTTAAACTGATCCATGGCACTACTGTCTGTCAGTTTGGCAGGATAACCATATCCTCCTAAAAGTGCAGTAAATGGGAAGCAGACTGTCTCCTTGAAGAGCATACACATGGATACATGCTATGTTCAACTGCCAGAGTCCAAACCCCAGAAGAGCAAAAGCTGTGCAATTAATCCAGTATTCCCAAGCAGCCTGAGAGCCTCAAGGTATTAACCACTTTGCAGTTCAAATATTCTGCAGACCAACATGAAATGTGGACATTAACATGGAGAGGAAATACCAGCTTATTGGAATGGATACGATCTGCCCTCTGAATGAACTGAAAGCCAGCTTTTTGCAAAGCTCCTGAATATTAGTCTTCCCTGGGTGGAACAACACTGAGCCATATGCCAGCCACCTGTTCACCATGCAAGTTTCATCCCGAGTTTATTTTCACTTGTGTGTATCTGCGTCTTTATATTTATATTCACACATACAGAGCACACTGGCACCGGTGGCCAGCGTGTAGAGGTAAGATGGGAGTGTCTCTGATGACGGCTGGCTTCCTGGGCCTGGGGACAATGGCTATGGTTGGACAAGACACATATTGCTTTCTTCCTGAAAAATAGACGTGTGTAGTTCTGCCCAGTGGGTACACCCACAGCAGTTGTGGTGTGTAACAGTCTGCTGCAGACTGTGTCCTTCAGTGCCCAAGGTAGTCCAGAGCCCTTCTAATTCTCTTGTGGTGTCCATGTAAGTACAAGACTAAATAAGGACTAAAACAACTACAAGGTTCCTGCTGTTAAAACACTGGGCACCAATTTTTTTCTTTACACCCTCATACCAAACAAACAAATGCTTTGGTGCAGTTTTTTTTCCAGTTTAAAGAGTTTTGCTTCCCACCCTGTGTAGAGAAAGGCAGATGGCAGAAGGGAGAGAACAGATTAATTCCGTTTGGAGTTAAGAGCTCATTCAGAAGACAATTTTGTGTAATTGTAGACGGCTTCAAGATGTTGTTTCTTTGGATGTTGGCATGGGCATGTCTGTGTTGAGAGCAGGTGGGCTCTGCAGCACGCCCTGTGGTGCTGGGCCCTTCATTGTTAAGAAAAGGAGACTGTCCAAGTTCATGCTGCCTGCCTGCGCCCAGATTTAGCAGGGGCTAAAGTCAGGGTTCAAATGAGTCCTGCACTTAAACCCAGGCCCTCGTGAAGAGGTCTTTCATTAAAATACAGCCAGAGAAATCTTATAAACTTTCCAGTACAGATCTCTAGCTATCATCCTGCAGCACATATATTGCCTAAGTATTCACTCTGATGTGAAGTGAGTGAATACTCACTTAGTGAGTGAATACACAGCTCAACTTGCCTGAGACAGCACTCAGCTGGGGTCATCTGCCAAAAGCATTGCAATTTGTGCAGACACAGGGGCACCCTTTGCTAAACCCTAAGCTAGTCCTTAACATGGCCTTCTGAGTTGCAAAAGGTGGTCTGGATTTAATGAGATCCTACCCAATCCCTTCTTACTAATCAGCTGAAACTCCTCTCCATGTAGGTTGCTGGGAATGTCCACCCAGAATGTGATTTTATGACAGAACTGAAGAAAAAGGAGACTGAATGTCTGAAGGACTCAGAGGAGTATGGGAATGCAACACCACCAGGTATCCATGTGTGAGGGGTGAACAGAGTGACAGAGAAACAACACTCTACCAGAGTCAGGACACAGCCATGATGCCAAAGTACATGTTTGGGTGTATACTTATTGCCCCACATCCCTGTTCTCTGGTCAGCTCTTTTTCCATCTACTCCAATTCCTTTCAATTTTTTTTTCCAACTTTTTTTATGTGTAAATATAGATAGTCAATCCATCTGAGTGAATCCTTGTGTCCTTGTCTGATTCCTTCCCCAGCTGGATTCTGTCATGGCATCATGCTTGCTATGTCAGGGTGTGTTGATCTTTAAAAATAAGGTAACCCCTTGTCATGATTTACCTTGAGCCAGCATTTATGCACCATGAAGCTGCTCACTCACCTCCCCCCTGCTTCTAGGTGGGATGGGGGAGAGGATAGGAAAAAAAACTTGTGGATTGAAAAAAACCCAGTTTAATAGGGCAACAAAGTAAAAGGAAATAATGATACTACTACTACTATTACTACAACTATTACTACTGATAAAGGAATATAGAAAAACAAGTGATGCACAATGCAACATATGCTCACCAACTGACGATTAATAGCCCATCCCCAAGCTGCTATTCCTGCCCCCTGGCCAACTCCAGTTTTATGTACGGATGTTATAGAGTGGGGAATATCTTTCCTGTCGTGGTCTGTCGTCCTGCCTATGCCCGCTCCCAGCTTCTTGTACACCTCCCCACTGGCAAAGCACAGGAAGCTGAAAAGTTCTTGACTTAGTATAAGCACTATCAAGCACTTAGCAAAAATAAAAACATCAGTGTGTTCCTTATTCTAAATCCAAAACACAGCACTATACCAGCTATTAGGAAGAAAATTAACTTTATCCCAGCCAAAATCAAGACACACCTTAAGAAGTACTCTAACCTGGCCTTTCTTCTAGCATCAATCTCCCTCCCATTTCCACAATGTATTTTCACTCATTGCATTATGTCTGAAACCCCAGTTTAACAAAAGCAGATTAAACAGTTCTCTGAAGGTGTTTATTTCTCATTATGGAATAGAAATTGAGGCAAAATTATTTTATATGTTAAGGGCGAAGGGTCAAATTTTATATTTTTAAAATTATTTTTTATGTTGCTTAAATATAAAAATATAAAATAAAATACATTTCACTTTCTCTCTGAGGTTGCAAGAGAACTTGGGACAAATTACTGTGCTGGCCAGAGGTAGATGCTGGAGAGACTCTTGCCTTACCGTGCCCAAGTGTCCTCTTTCACTTTATGAAGGAGCCAGGTGATGTGCTATCGTGGTTGTACTCCTATTGTTGTGTTGCGTGCCTGACAAGAGCATTTGAAAAAATGGGTGGTGAAGACAGAACTTTGCAAATTCCTGCTCTCTAGTTGGATGAGAGCATTACCGAAAAGATTTCAGTAGGATCTGAGAGAGCTTAGCAGGTCTTCTCATATTTTAATCAATACCCATAACTTGATATAATGCCATAGTTTGTGATGAGGCCTTGAGCCAAAGAACACAGAAATCCATAGAGTTATTTCCATTGGTTTCCACAGGCTTTGGGATCATCTTGTTGCGTGAGTTTTCTACAGCTCAGATGGGAGTTGTCAAGGTCAGAACTTAAGCTTGGGACTTTATGAGATTTATGTTCTGATTAGTGTGAGATGAAATGAAAGGCCGAAGAATGAATAATATGATTGTTCTTTAAGTCCAAGTTTGGAGATACAAAGCAAAATTTTGCCATTGAAGTAGCACATGTGTTGGGTCAAATGCAAGACTCTGCAAACTAATGCCTTCGTGACTGCTTACTCTCTGGGTGAATATGGTTAGGAACAAAGTGCAAGCCCATAGGGAGGAAAAAGTCTTCCAGGAAATATCTAGAATTGGCAGTTCCACAAGAAAAAGAAACTGCAAGGCCCAAATTCTGCCTCAACCAACACATGCTAGTTATAAATGAGGGATAAGGAAAATCCTTTTCATCTCTGCAGATTCATTTCCTGCCCTGGGATTCTCTTACTTATCCTTCATCTGACTCATAAATCTTTTTATGGAAACATGGTATTCTCATAGAACAAACTGCTTATTCCAACCTCTGATCTGCAAGCAAAGGGTAAGCCCCAGGGAAGGTGGCAGTGAGGAGGGATACGTTAGGTGAGTGAGTGCTGAACAAGGCTGAAGTGTGGTGAAGTACTTCCCAGTCTTCTTCAATGGACTTCCTTGTCCCTGATATGATTTCTTTCCTTACTCTTTTCTACCTCTACATCTGTCACCTCAGTTCTCTCACTTCTTCCCATTGTTTCTTTCCAGATAAAATGAAAAGGTTTATACCTGACTACCTGAATGTACATATGTAAAATGTCCTATCAGCTCTGTGGGAGATGTTCCTCTCCTCCTGGTATAACCTTTGTACCAGCAAGAGATCTTTCCCAAGTTTTTATTTTCTGTGTTATATGGCTCTTCATTGGAGGAAAAAAAAAAAAAGTGCTTCTGTTTCAGCTGGGATAATAAAAAGGAACTGCACAAAGGAAGGCTGGTCTGAACCATTCCCTCCCTACCATATTGCTTGTCCAGTAGAAGATGAGATTCCGCTTGAAGAAGTAAGTTTAATTAAAAAAAAAATACATGTGAGTGGTGTGCTGACGTTATAGGATGCCTTTCTATTCCTGAAGACCACTGGGGAGTGAAATTCAGCTGAAGCCGAAATTACTTACCAAATAGGGAATATGATTCAGATTTTACTCTAGTCATTTATTTTGGAGAATTACTAAGGATGCATTATTACTCAGGTATAAGAGTGTAATAAAATAAAGACAGCTGCAAATTCCACACAATCATGCCGTTCTGTTGAACTTGCTCACAGATACGACAGCTACAGTTTTATCATGAAATGTTTATAAAACATGAATTGAGACATTTCAATAATATCAGCCAGAAAGATGATTTTGTGTCATCCCCACCTCAGTAGAGCAAATGCACTGTCATAACACCCCTATTCCAAACAGCAGTATCGAAGGGCAGGAGAGGTTTCTGGTTTCTCATCCCGCCTAGTATAAAAAAATGTAATTCAACAAGGAAATATAAATAAAAAAATGTTTGAAAATATTCATCTCTAATGCAGTTCAGAATTTGGCATATTGCATCATTTAGATTTACACAGTTGGTGATATTTAGAGTTTATCTGTATAGTGAAAAAAACAATGCTTGATCTCTAACTAATAAGGATACAAACATTTTGTATAGATGTGTTTATCTTCCTGTAACTCCTTTTTCAGACAAAAGAAGCAAACCAAAATGGTATATCATATTTTAATGAAAAAATCACAATCTTAAAAATTATTATGATTACATAAAGCCTATGTCTTATTCGTCACTGTGGAGAAAATGAGGAGTACCTCAAGGGAAAAAAGTCTGCCCTTTTGTCTTTGTTTGTACAAGTCACATGAATACTATCCTTTTTTTGTCCACCATAGAAAGAATGAAAACAACACATATTCTTTAGTTGATGAAGACTATTCAATTTTCTGAAGAGAATTTAATTTATATCATCATGGGGAGATTTCTCTTGTCTTCCCACTACTTTTTATACTGACTACTATCACGCTGTTTCTCTCAAACCTCCTTTCCAGCCTCTAAACCACAGTACCTGCATCTCTCCATAAATAAACACACTGAAATGAAACTCTTTCTTTCCCTCTTTTATTGCTTCCTTACATTTCTGGTGTTTTTCTTGCTGACAGAAAGCAGTACAGTCTCATCTTACAATGAGTTGAATTGACTTCTGACAGTGCTTGTTTCCCTTCATTAACTAGAAAAGAAGCAGAATAAGAAGAAATAGGATTGTGTTATAATTGCACAATATACAGTCCTGTGGCCATGCTCTCACACTGCTCATTTTAATATAGACTTAGGCAGCTAATTTTTAAGCACCTAAAATAGATTAAATAAATGCTACCCAGTGTCACCCTCAAACAAGTATCTGCCCTTCCCCACAGTGCACTGCAGCAGCACATTGCATAGCTGCGTAGATGTTAGATATAAAAATATTGAAATGGGACCCAGGAGACAGACGGTGTTAGGTTGAAGGGAAAGACTTGCAGCCTACAGCTTATTCATTCTATTTTCTGATTCCATGAGCGATACTTAAGTCAGCTTGTCCTCATTCAGAGATCATGTCTGACAGAACTGTCATTTAAATTGAAATGCATTTTGATTGATGTTCTGACTAAGTGACAATTGAATTTGGAAGCAAGAAGGAAGAAGGAAAAAAACCCAACCCCAGGGAGAAATAACACCAACACAATAAAAATGGAACAGAAGAATAGATGGCAAATTATAAGTAAGGAAGCAGAGCAAAGGAAAGTGGAGAAACATAAGAAAAGGCTGACAGAATTCTGTATTCATCAAACAGCCATCTGCCAGCGGAATTGCCCTGCTACTGCTGTGGAGAAAACGGGGTATAAAATGCAGTGCTTATAAAAATGCATAAGATATTTTACAAAACCTTCATGGAAGACTGGCTTAGTTTTTTATGGGTTTATGAATGAGCTGGAAAGCAGCCTGATCAATACCTGTTTATCAAACTGGGTCATGCCCATACTATGGAATGGGTTTTCACAAAAGAATCTACAAGTGATGTCAGTTGAATTTTGCTGTGGGATTAAAAGAGGGACAAAAGGGCAGTCTGGGATGTGAACAGATTGGGAGTACCAAACAAACCAAAACTGCCAGAATCTAACAGCTGTCGTTTGGCTGCAAGTTATGTGACAAATAATTATCTTCTTTTATAGCATTCCTACTTTTCTACTATAAAGGTTATCTACACTGTAGGCTACAGTGTATCGATCACCTCACTTATTATTGCTGTGACAGTTCTTATTGCATTCAGGTATGTAAAGTTATTCTCTCACCTCAATTCTTTTGAAAATTCTATGTATCTTACACTGTATGAGACACAACAAAGTAATATAGATAGAAATCCAGAAGAATAAAAATAAACATTTCTGGCCGCATTACTTCAGTAATACTAAATTGAGGCTAGAAATGAAAAGTGATCCCAGCAAGCCAGCTGTAAGAAGAATCAGAACTGGGAAATAATCCCTGACTGTCTATTGGTAAAATTCAGCAACTCACTGTGATCCTACATAACCAAAAGATAAATTTTCTTGCTTTAGCAAGAATGAAGATTTTTTTTTTATAAATTATGTGTGCTTGCCTTTTATGGTCTGAGTGAATTTTATATGAATAATAAGAATATACACAAATAATTCAGTTCTGAATCAATATCTTTGGGTCACTGTATATACTACTATTGAAATATTTACATCTAAAGACACGTTTTGAAATTAGGCTCTGAAATTTAGGTCTGGTTTGTCTTCATTTGGTAAGATTTCTTTCCTACTAAATGCCTAGCTATTAGTAATTTTCAGGTAGAAGTTAGACTATTTAGAGTAAAAGTGATTGTTTATTTTCTTATTTAATGTACATTTGATGTTTGCTGCCACAAACAATTTATTTTATTAATCTTTGTTTATTTCTTGTATTTGTGTAGGACAATAAAGAAGTCTTATTATGTTGTGAGAATCAGGTTTCTCTGGGGAAAATTTCTTGAACTGTGTTGGTTCCTAGCTCATGTCTGGAAGTCAAAAGATATGTTTGTTGACATCCACTCTAACCTCAGGAAAACAAACCAGCCCAAATAAGGACAGAGAGAGAAACAATGGACAAAAAGAGGCTTTTTAAGAAGAAAAGTTATAGTTAACAATGGGGTTGGCATCTGAGTTCAGTAATAAAACTCTGCACACTGTGAATGAACTTTAAGATTAGGTGACCCTGAGATTACTGGATCTGGATGGAATTCAATTTTTAACAGGGCTTTGTTTTGCTGATTAGCTAAAGTCTTCAGCTCTGAATAAAAATATAAAGGTAAAGCTGTATAACTCCTCCAAAAGTTTGCATTTAACAACAGTCAAAAAAATTAATCTGAAGTAACTGAACATGAGGATTTCAAGTTGATGTGCCAAATTGTTATAAAGCAATTGCTTTAACGTACCCATGACATTTTGCTGTATAGAAAATCATTACCCTGTTCATTGAGAAAACTGCCTAGTTAGTCCAGGATAACTCTGCGTGCTTGTTCTTGGACGTGGTTTAGTCACATTCAGAATGGTACCAGTAAAGATCATTCCTGAAATTCAGGTTTCTCTTGGCCCATAAATAATACCAACCAAAACCTGACTCAGGTATACTGAACACAAACTAAAATTGAGATTCCTGGAATTTGGCAGACCAGAAACAACACTTGGGTACCACCTAACAAGAAAGGAGATTAAGATGTAGACTGTGAGTCAATTGCTTTCCATGAGGAAGTTTTCTGTCTCTACCTACCTGCAGAGTGAGCTGAGTGGATGCAAGTGTTTTTTCTATACATGCCTGGAAATAACTGAGATGAAACAGGACATATTGAGTATTTGAACTACTGCCAGTATAAGTTTGTTGCCTCAGAAGGACATTTCTTTTTTTTTTTTTTTTTCCCCAGGAGGCTTCACTGTCCCAGAAATTATATCCATGTACAGCTCTTTTTTACTTTTATCTTAAAAGCTATTGCCATTTTCATTAAGGATGCTGTCCTTTTCCAAGAGGAAGATATTGATCATTGCAGCTTCTCTACAGTAAGCACATGAAAAGCAGGATACTGTGGTACTTGATGTTTTTGTATACTACCTATGTATAGTTTAACTTTCATTGCTCTTTTTTACTATTTTCCTTTTTTCCCTCCCAACCTAGTAGTGAAAATTATATAATCCTTTTATTATATCTTTTACCTCCATAAGTATGCACCTCAGGACTCCTACATTCTGACTGTATCAATTTGTGATCCTGTAGTACTCTAAATGAGATATATAATTTGCTATAGAAAAAAAAGTAATATAATTACACTTCTATCATCTGAAGCCTAAATCTGAAGATCTCTGCATACCTGCAAACACAGTTTTTAAAATATGTTTATTCTGGAAATATTGGATTTCATGTTCTGACTGGAAGCTAGGAATTTTAAACCAAAAGACAATCAAGGTACTAGGCAATCAACTTAGCTTTGGTCCAGCCACAAATATTGGCAACATGGCAATGGTCCTCAAATAAGGATTAATGGGACGATACTGCTTCATTGCTCATGGCCACACAAAAATTTTAAACTGAGAATAAGCAGGAAAGTGAAATATGATGAATCCTTGAACATACTTTTGCTCAAGTCGTATGTAACATTGGACTCTACTTGTGTAAGCTACGCTGAAGGCATTGCATTTGTGGGAGAAAACACATGTTTGGGAGACCCAGCTGTATTTCTAGCTTAGAAATATAAACCAAACTACAGTGGAGATTCCAAGCTATGATGATGGTTAAAACCTTACTATTCAGAAAGCCATACTACATTTAAAGCTTTCCCTTTAAACATGCATGTAATTGTGAGATCTTTGTAGTTCTCAGCCAGAATTACAGATGCCTACTGCCTCTGCAAATCAAACGTGTATGCACAAGTAATGCCAAAACTATGACTTCCCTGTTCCTTAGACTGAATGCAAGATCTCAGTTGTTTTCTGTCACTACTTCATGATGACAAATTTCATGTGGCTGCTAGTAGAGGCTCTTTACCTAAACTGTCTACTACGCTCATCTCTTTCTCATGGAAGAAGATATTTTTGGTGGCTTGTTCTCTTTGGCTGGGGTAAGTAAAACTTTTACATTAAAAGAATAAAGGGGAAGATGTTACAAAGGGCTTTATCCATCATGTTAAAAATACTGGATATAGAATATAGTCTGCCTAGTTGAAGGGACCAATATGGGCATTGCTTTAATTTTATTTTTACATGCATACTTGTGAGGAACAACCAGTGTTTTAAAATACAGCATTAAAGTTGCTATGAAAGAAGTGGAACATTAAGTAGATTTGGGAACACAGAGAGATATTCAGTCCACTTAACCTCTTTCTCCCCATTGAAAAAGCAGACTCCTCTAAGGACCTGTCCCAATCACCTAATTTATCTTGCTTAAAAGATAATAAAAGGTAATTTACCATGTACCTTGCTTCAGTTCATACAAGAATTCAGTTCAGACAAGAATGTCTTCTTTGAATGTGTCCATCCGGAGGCATAGCGGGTGTTTCTGTAGTTCTGACATTGCTACAGCCCATCATTTGCATTGGGCAATTGTGTGTATACGGGAGCTCAATTCACTAAATAACAGTGCAGGCATGAGACAGCAACATGCTCGCACCTTTTTCTTGTAGTCTGCAATAAATATAATTGTTCAGAATGTTATGGTGACTTAGAAATTAAAAATTTAGTTGTTTCCCACATAAAGCTTCTGTGTAAAGGAAAAAATCTCTACAGAAGTATCTGGACAGGCCGTGTTGATGGGCTGTGACATCACTACGACATCTCTGTACTGTTCACTGGGTAAAAAACTGCCTGAATTGTCAGACCCGAAGAGTGGTGGTGAATGGAGTGAAATCCAGTTGGAAGCTGGTCACATGTTGTGTTCCCCAGGGCTCAGTACTGGGGCCAGTTCTGTCTAATATCTTTATCAATGAAGAATTTAACAGACGTGTAGATGTGGCATTTAGGGACATGTTTTAGTGGAGGAATTAGCAGTGTTAGGTTAATGGTTGGACACGATGGTCTTAAAAGTGTTCTCCAACCTAAACGATTCTATGATCATAACAACTCACAAAAGCAGAGAATTCCCTCCCAAAAGTATATGGCAGGTGAATGCACTTGCACAGGGGAATTTTTGATCAGTTCAGGAAGGTAATCCATACATCTTTTTACCAAGGGTTAAGGTAGGCCTGACAACTAAGCAGATTGAATCACTTTATGTGTTTTAAGTGGTTGTTTAGGAAGGTGTTAGGTAGGATGCCTTACATTCTGTGTTTGTAACATGGTAGTATTACTATTATTGTAGAATTACATGTTATCTGCATGCAAAAGTTATCTTCGGGTGAGATCACGCGTGTGAATTATGTTCATATTAGTAAGAGGTTGCAAGTTCAGTCTTATGTGGCAGAACTGTATCATGTGCAAAGTATGTCCTTTATATCTTCACTGTGATGCATGAAGTCTTTCAACGCTTTAACTTGTTTCAGTCCATCCTGAGTATTAGGAGATTTTCTGGGGGATTTATGCCACGAGTCTAAAGTAATTCTTATTATATGAACAGGCTACAAAGGGTAATTCCAGTTCTGAAAATGAATGCTCTGTATCATCACTGCAGAGTTTAGTGGACAAGATTTGGATTAATTGATGAAATTAGACAACCACAGTTTTTATTCAACTGTCTAACAGGTTTTCCAACGCTTTTCACTGTTATATGGATATTAACAAAATTCTACTTTGAAGACACAGCGTAAGTCATTGTTTCCTACATTATTCTAGATTCCTGGGTTATATTTTTAATATAAAGATAGGGATGAAGACTTACATAATTTCATTTACATGGGAAAATGATAGTAATAAAGGACACACCTTTCTCTACATCACCAAGTGGATTAGTGCTTTTGTTGTTCTGCCGTGCCATTACACTATGGATATAAAGAATGGGGAATAAAATCTCCATTAGGGTATATTATACTAATTATATTATAATTATGTAGGAGATCCTTCCCTGGAACCTGAAATATTTATTTGTGCTGCAAGAGACAAAGAGATCCTAATTAGATAAAGTAAGCAAACAAAATTTTAGGAGTTTCTGATACAAAAAGTCTTTTGATATTTCTGAGGCCTGTAGTGCTCACTATTTTACACAGACAAAATATTTCATGTCTTAAATACGTGTCTTTGAAGAAAAAAGCTGTATCTTTGTATAAGTCATGGCATCCTATGTTTAGGTCTTTTGTCAGTGTTGTTGCATCCATAGCTGTCACTTAACACATCGAGATCATTATCTCTTTGCAAAGAGTAGGATAATCTGTAAAGACTATATCCTCTTCAGAAGAGAGTTTAAATATTTGGATACTTGCACTATACTCACATTTCAACAAAAAATATCTCTTCAGATTTCCACTAACACTGCCAGGTGCTGTCTTAATCATAGTGATTACATACACATCTTTTCTAAACTTATTTTCTCAGATGCTGGGATGTGAATCAAGGCTCTCCATACTGGTGGCTAATCAAAGGTCCTATTATAATTTCTGTTGGGGTAGGTAATTCAAACTTTGGCAATATTAATTAGAAGAAAAAAGAATTTTATATTTTAAATCTAGTTACTGTTTGCTGAAATGTTGTTTGAAATAAGGAGGAGAAATGGTAGAATTTCTACTGCACACTTACCTTTGTCCAGTGCAAACTAAAAAAGTGCCAAGAACTTCCCTCCCTCTCCCCAAGCAAATATCCTTCAAAGAAATTAAAGATATCATAGAATTGTCAGTTTGGTTGAAATTAATGACAGGTGAGAGGTTAAGCCATCCTTATAATATTTGAAAACACAACTTTTAGCCCAAGGGTCCAGAATCATAGATAAATTTTAATATAAAACTTTCAACGGCAACAGGTTCATAGGTGGTAATGATGATGGTAGCTCTTGAGACTGACATTTATTGAATAAACTGATGGACTTTAAAAGATTATCATGCATGATGACTCCCACATGTCATTAAACCCAAGCAATGTTGGATAAAGCAGCTAATGGATTTCCTTAATGCTATATATCAAAAGCTTAATTTAACTGGAGGACAGCTGCATACAGATAAGGAATATATAGGCAAACAACATGAATAAAGTATATCAAGTTGAATTCTGGGCATAGTTTGCCATGTTTCAATAAAATATTGTGTTTCCTTCTGCCTCCTTTATTTTTCACCCTACTAGTGCTCTTCTGACCTTTACTTTTGAAGTCAAGAAATTCAGGGGATTGCAGGGATGATTTTTTCTACTGGAATGTACTTAAGGCATCACTAATGGATCAAATGAGATTGGACTTTCTGTTAAAATATGGACATTCTTTGGTAAAATTAAGCATTCAGCCTCACCTAAAGTAGAGCTGGTGTGTACAGACATATAAAAAAGTATAGGGAGAAACTCTCTGGAAAACTGGGAAGCTTCACAGACTTTGGTGAAGCTTTGTCAAACTGTAATTGTAGAAAATTGGATTTGCAAGTTAGGATTTACCCTAGGTAGCTTTAGAGCTGAGCCAATGCTCCTCAGATCTCTTCAGAGTCAACAAAGAGAATATGCACTTTCTGTATGTGATACATCTGACATAGTAAATGTCTACATTTGGAGGACATGACTCTTCCCCAGCTCGACTGGAGGCTCTATGGTGTATACGGGCTGTGCCTCCATTGACTTCAGAGGGAGAACAGGGTGATCAGCTCAGATGCAGACATATCCTTGTAGATACTTATATCTAAGTCAGATGAAATCTATTCAGAATATCAAAAGCAAAAGATATTAGCCAGAACTTAATGCAATATCCATCTCAGAAGAGAGTAAAAAAAATATGAGCTACAAAAAATAAAAAGAATCATGCAAGATATTGAGAAAAATAGTTTACTTAACAAAACCAAATTATCAAGTTTTCAGCTTCAGCTATTTCTTTAAGAAGGAATGAAATCTATTGAGATACTTGAATGCTGCCAACAGGAAGGGCATTCATAATCTTACTTTTGCCTCATTGAAACTGCACAAATTAGATAATAATAGAAGGAAATAGAATCACAGAATGGTTTGACTTGGAATGGACCTTAAAGATCATCCAGTTCCAACCCCCCTGCCATGGGCAGGGACACCTTCCACTAGACCAGGTTGCTCCAAGCCTCATCCAGCCTGGCCTTGGACACTTCCAGGGATGGGGCATCCACAGCTTCTCTGGGCAACCAGTTCCAGTACCTCACCACCCTCTTTGTGAACCGATATCTAATCTAAATCTATCTGCTTTCAATATATAAAGATAACAGATAATTAGAGATAATAGATAATTACAGAAAATACAGATTTGCATTGCAGTCTTACAACAAAAGTAACTTTCTTTTTTTCCCCAAAAATGTTGTGAACAGGTCAATTTTGTCCTATTTATCAACATCATCAGAATTCTGCTGAAAAAACTAGACCCTAGACAAATCAACTTCAACAACTCTTCTCAGTACAGGTAGTGTATGGAATTAAAAAAAATTAATCAATTATTTTAATAATAAAAACTTGTATCATGTTTTCTAAAATGAGAAGCACATGTTGAATGTCACAGACAGGCTCAGCTCAGTTGGCACTGAATTTTAGAAATCCCCAGCTTTACCCCAATCCCAAGGAATGCTCCAATAAGGCAAAATACATTCTACTCCTTTGTGGTTTCCTGAACTGCAATCTCACTCAGAGGGACAGAATGTCAAAATACCTTAAGAAAAGCCATGAACATGGTATTGCATTAACATGGTATTGCCAATAAGGCAATAAGTATCAGAAATCTATTTCCAGCTAGTTTTTCATTATGATTTCTTCTCAACACTGTAGACCCAAGAGATATGAACTTCAAATATAGGTATTTGGATCCTCATTTTAACTTCTATTCATTACTTTTGCATATTGCATGCACTAGTCTCTACTCAGGTTAGTAATATTAAAATAATATTACCTTGCTTCTTCCCATGTCCTGTGCCAGACGTCTCTCAAGGTCAACTCTGCTTCTAATTCCATTATTTGGAACCCATTATATTGTCTTCAACTTTCTTCCGGAATATACCAGCCTGGGGGTTCGGCTTTACTTAGAGCTCTGCATTGGATCTTTTCAGGTAAAATGACTGCAGAGGCTTCAATTCCTTTCTAATACATTTTATAATTTAGTCTAGTGTCCACATGGCAACCAGTATTGCACAGAAATATCACTGGATCCTGAAGCTATCATCTCCTCACAGAATTAATGGTTCTTTGCTGAGTTATGGTATCTGAAGATGTGACCTACATCCTATCTGGCTCTAGACTAGACTATATTTACAGATTCTGCAAATACAAGGCAAAGTCTTTCAGATGCATGTGTAAATTGAATGGTGGTAAAACTCAGTCCTGAGAAACCTTTGCTACCAGTGGTTATCCACATACCCTCCTTGATTTCACTGAAAAGATCAAGCTGATTTAGGCTGATGTTAAACTATCCAATGGAAATCAAAGCTGTAGGTCCAACCCCCTTTCAAGCTGTTTGGCAAAGAACAAATTGACAGGCAAGCATATAAACACAAATAGTGACTGATGCACGTATCAGCCCCATACGGACTACTGCCCTGAGGAATGCTAAATGCTTTTCCCTCCTGGGTAGGCAAAATGTCAGGTGTACTTTGGATGCTCCCAGCTGCTCTGAATTAACCCACACACTAGGGACAGCTTGAGGAACTTGGTGCCAATTAGAACACCTACTGGGGCTGCTCTGACATACCCTTCAGGTAGCTTTACTACCTGATCTGTGAGCAAGGCAGCACCCAGATGCCTTTGCTTTCCTCCCTTTCCCTATTGTTGCACCTCAGAGTCTGCAAGGAGCAGCTGTGGGTAATCCTACCAAACAAGGGAGCATATCTCCCTGTGAATGGTTGCATTTTATCATTTGTCGGTGATTATCACACAAAATCCAGCAGTTGTGCTAGTTGACTCCTCTTGAGGATTTAATCCATTGTGTCAATCCTGTCCAATATACCCTGCACATCTTAATCCTGACCCTCTGTACTTGGAGCTGGCCTTCATTGAGTGAGTTAACGAAGTAAGAAATGAGTAAACTGAGTAACAGGATGAGGTGTTTAGCTGGTGTCTGATCACATAGGTCCATTGACCTCCTAGGATTTTCCTGAGGTCAGGAAACTGAGGATTTATATCAGTTCAGAATCTTAGCAAAAGTATTAAATAGGCCAGCAATTACCTCATCTGATATACTGCAAAGACACAGAAGTTGACTGGAAAGGTCTATGAGCTCCATCCATAGTTATCTTTATGATGTTTATGTTTTCTTTCTGATTTACACTATGTAAAATATTAGCTCACAGTAAGTTCGGCTGTAGGATGGACCATGCTTTTGGGACCATAACTTGGGATCACTTCAGTTGCTGTATCATCTGTTCTTGTCGATCCATGAGGCCTTACTGAACTGACTTTGGTCAAGTGCCACTAACTAGGTGATTATCTGACTGATCAGCTTTATTGGAGATATATAAGGAATTTTCCAATTTCTAACAATACTGCAACTTATAATGATACTCATTAATTCACATACACTGTACCATGATGAAGTCAAATATTGCAAGTGGCTTTTTCAAACTGTGATAACACTCAGGGTTTTTTTTAACTTTTTATTTTTCCCCCCACAGGGGTTTATTGTAGCAGTTCTCTACTGTTTCCTGAACCAAGAGGTAAGTGAGCCATATCCTTTACAGTACTGCTTTCACTGGCAGATATATAAATTTAATAATCACTTTCACGCAAGCAGATAATCAGATCTTTTAGTTTCTTAGGTTTGTCTGATAACATGGGAATGGATGAAGCTGAATTTCATTTCAATGATCTTCATGGGAATGAAGCCATCTAGTGGACAAATTAATATTTACTACTCTGCTGTTTCATCAAGTATTTTTTATCCTTTCTGCACATTCTGGGCTTGGGAAACCCATGCTAGTTCAGGACCTGAATGTAAAAGCTGCTGCAGTGATGCAAAGAGATCTCCAGTTACTAGAAGCCTGTGATTAAATTGGAAAGAATATTAATTTATGTTGATTGTTCCATACCAAAATATTGTTTTCCAGTATTTTTAATATGCTCATGAAGTTTCCCAGTATGTCTTCATTTAGATAAATCTCACTTTCCATTCAGAATATGTAAGTAAGAACTTTACTGTTGATGGGACAGGAATAATTCTACTTAGCTTAGTAACAGGGTTCATTTACATAGTGTAGACAGTGTGATAAGGATGCATCTTAGGTGAATTATATAGGCAACACAACACTTTATCCTCCATATTTTAAAATGGATTGAAAACCTGGAATTTCAGCCTCTTTTCTGACTACAGGGTAGCTGAGATGGCTAAAGTTTGATTGGGTTTCACTTTCAACTACACCGAGTCTACTGGTTTCTAACTGCAGCTTCTAAAAAGAGAAAGCCTCCTGATTCACGTATACTACCCCACAGCACACCCCCTAGGGTGTCAGAGGTGTGTTTAGGAAGCGAATCCTGCCCCTAATCAACACAGTCAGTGAAACTCAGAGAGAGATCTAAATGACCAAGCACAGTTGTCTGTGTTACGGACAGCTGACCCACGGTAAACTCCTTGGGCTTTGTTGACTAAATGACTGTTTTCCACGTTTAAATTCTAGGGTTGATTAAGCTTAGAAACAGCATGTGTGCATCTGTTTGTGCTATAGTCCACACATCTACTTGATAATTTTGTCAAAGATTTCTAAATTATTAAACCAAGTGTCTTCAAATATGTTAACACTTCTTAGCCTTTCAGTTGAGTTAATGGCTCTGAATTGTTGCCTGCCCTAACAGTACTTGTGTTCTGTTAACAATCCTGTTCACTAGACTATTAATATCCTAATCTCTTTTGATAGAACAGGGCTTTACATCCAGTTTAACATCCCAGACATACAATATACAACACCTCAATTTAGAAATTTCCTTCCTATTAAACACCTGGGAAGGCACATTCCTATTGAGAATCAGATGTGAAATAAGGCTCTAGTGGTTGATACTTTTCTAGAAACAGTTAGAAACAAAACAACATCCCTTAACAACGGAGGAAAAGCAAGCAATGTGGAAAGAATGTGTTTAATTGTGTAGGCAGTGTTGGTGAGACCATTACCGGAATAAATATTCAAATGGATATTTAAAAAAATTAAAAAGAGACAGAATATAAAAAAAAGATGAGAAAATATTCTAGTGGTGGAGAAAATGTTTTACAGTGCTAGAGTTGACCTGAGGGTCCTTTATGTCTCAGAAGATGACTGAGGTAACTTGACTGTGCTTAAAGATATCAAAGTATAACTATTTTGATGGGAGAAAGTTACTTAGTGCTGACAGACTTTTCAGTTTCAGAAAGGAAGGTGGACTGAGAATCAGCAGGTATAAACAGAAACCAGGAAAGTTAAAAATGGAAGTGGGCTGCTTTTTTGTTTATTTGACTGTGTGACAGCTCTATTAGGCCACGAAGATGATCAGAGGGCTGGAGCACCTCTCCTATGATGAAAGGCTGCGAGAACTGGGCTTGTTCAGCCTGGAGAAGAGGAGGCTCCGAGGAGACCTCATTGCAGCTTTCCAGTATCTGAAGGGGGCCTACAAGGGTACTGGGAGAGGACTTTTTACAAGAGCCTGTAGTGATAGGACAAGGGGTAATGGGTATAAATTGAAATTAGGGAGGTTTAGATTAGATGTCAGGAAGAAATTCTTCACAGAGAGGGTGGGGAGGCACTGGAACAGGCTGCTCAGAGCTGTTGTGGATGTCCCATCCCTGGATGTCTTCAAGGCCAGGCTGGATGTGGCTTTGAGCAACCTGGTCTAGTGGAAGGTGTCCCTGCGCATGGCAGGGGGGTTGGAACTAGATGATCTTTGAGGTCCCTTCCAACCCTAACCATTCTATGATTCTATGATTCTATGAATAAGCTTTGATTGTTGGGCCCATAGTCATTAAGTAGGAACACAGGACTGGGCAGACTTACATGAAGTTTTATGACCTTACTTCTTGAATAGAAGAGTGGGATTCATTTACTCTTTTCCACATGAGAGGCCAGTTCCGAGATACCCACACGAGACACTTCATCAGTGCAGAGGGACGAGCATGCTGAGACAGCCTAGATGAAACATTCTCTGGTGGATCCTACTTTTCTCAGTCAGCTAGAAAGGGAGACCAGAGGAACTAACTTGAACTGAGATGTCTAAATTTTACGCTTCTCTAGCCACCATTTCTGTCTTTCTTCTTTCCCACCAGTCTACTCCCAAGCAATATTTGACCACAAAATAGCATTCTCCTTTCCTTTTGAGGTACAAACGGAAATTGGCCGGAGGTGGCATGGCAAGAGATACGGAATTATGCCAGTGTGGAGGAGGACAAGATGGACTGTTCCGTCTAGTTCTGGAGTGAAAATGACCACATCTGTGTGCTAAAGATGGCCTCAGGAGCTGGAGTAATAACATATAAAAGCCTGAGTAGGAAAAAAAAAAAACAAGTAACAAACAAACCAAAAGACCCACCAAAGTGATGATTGAAGTTTATACAGAAGTGGAGGATCCAATTCTGCAGCAGTTCTGCCCATTGGACTTCTTTTGCAGGACGAGCATTTCAGTGACATATTAAACACTGACAGTCTGATCAAAATAGCCCCTTCACTGGTATATTTTGCACCACAAAACCCACAAAAAATCACCTATTTTTGGTTCGCTTCCTGAGCATTTTCACTGATGAACCATATGACAATTTGTCTAGGGAGCGAACACCAGTAGTACCCTTCAGTGACACCACAGACGACCAGCTCTGGAAACTTGTATTTCACCCTTACACAATGGGAAATGGAGTCTATCCAGCCTCTTAAGCTCTGTTCCTTATTTTGAATCAGTAGGCATGCAAATAAAAAGGCAAATGTCTTGTTAAACTGCAATGCAATGGCTAAAATGTCCTTTTATATTGTCTCTTTAGAAGTAAAAAGACACAAAATTCACAATGAGAAACAATACACTCATGTTCTGGTGTAATTCCAGTAACTACAGGTTAGGAAATTTCTGATAGCCAAGGAGAAGAAATTGGAGGTGTTGGGAAGGCCCAGGTACTGTAAGATAATTATTAAGGAATAAGTGCTCTTTGCAAGTAAATTAAAAAGAAATGCAAACTTCTGCACAGAAAAAGACTGAGTCCCGTGGGAGACAGACTAAGAGACTGCTGGAATACTGCTAAGTATTTTCTTATGTGTGACTGTTTTAGCTCTCCAGTGTTGTAAACTATTCTGAAGCTTGAAAATAAACTTAATTCCCAGTGTTTATACTTGATGGCATTGGTTGGTTGGTTTGGGACGTTGGTGTGTTTTGTTTCCCAGTGGTTTTCCTAACCAGTAAATTATGGACTGATTAACCTTTGATGGAAACATCAGGGCTCAGAAAGGAGTGAAGAAAGCTGACCTGTCCCAAACAGTGAGGACTATCAGACTGGTACATTTTCACTCTTCTGGACATTCTGGTGACCTGTCAAGTCCAATTGAACAACAGAAATTGGATCTGCGTGCTTTTTTCCTTTGCTGCATCCAGGTAGTTAGAGCTAATTTGAAGAGGTGAAATGTTATGCCATCTAGGTTTTATGTAAAAGCTGACTGCCAAGGAGGTATCTTCCTTCTTTTCATTAAAAAAGTGATCTTTTTCCTTGTTTTTTCTTCTCATGTGCAAAATACAGCAATGGATGAAATAAAGAAGGGTGGGAGAAGATTCTGAGGGAGAACTGGAATGTGTTTATTTCCAGTTCTGCAGTGACTCTTGGGAACACATATTACAATGTGGGGCCCAAGATACTGTTTCTATTGGTTTCCTTCCTTTATCCAGGATTAAAGGTAAGCTGGATGAAAGCATGTGTCAAATGTTTGGTGATCCGTTGAAAGTAAGAGACTAACAGAGAGATGAGCTTGCATGGCTTTCAGTGGTATATAGACTCCAGCTAAGGTGAAGCATGAGTATTGAGGTAGTTGAATATATCTTCTTTCCTAGGGATGGATGTTTTTCAGCCCCAGAAAGATCATGGTCTCTATCAGCTAGAAAAGAGCTCAGAGTAATAGCTCAAGTGAGAGGTCTAAATTTTACCCATCAGAGGCAGGAATCTTCATTCATGCAGGAATCAGGCATTTCATTCTTTCCTGAAATAAATAGCCACTACAAGGGGAATTCTTTCTTGTGGGATAGCTAAAACCGGAATCAGCAATGGCTAAAATGAGAAGACATTAATTATTTGAGTATTATTATCACTTATGACTAGGCATAGCATAGATATTGGGGTTACATTACTTTTTTAGCAATTTTAATCTTGATTATAAAGTGTTAATCAGAATTTAAAAACTTAAGAAATGTTTATTTTTTCAGGAATGGAATTGCATTGCATTTAGATAACTTTTACCAAGCTAAGGCTAGCTTAGGAGCATGTGCATGGTTATTGCATAAGATGGTTCATTGCTGCAAGTTCTTGTCTGTCACATGCAGGGTTTGATAAAACAGGTATGAAAAGTGTGAGTAACAGAAACTCCTTAACCTTTAAAGAAGAAATTATCCTAAGTATGATTGACTTTCACTTGGAGGAGGGCCAAAGCAATGGAAAAGTGACCTGAAGCTAGAGAACAATTTCCAGGGTATGCAAATTGCTACAGGGTTTACAATGCAATGACTAAAGAAAGAAATAAGAGCGAGATTCCAGGCGTGATGTCTGTGCTGATCTCACTGGAGGCTGCAGCAGTAAAAAAGAACAGCAATTTTAAATGCATCTCCCAAGTTTCTGCCAGCTTAGGTGCAATTTAGATCATTTGGACTTGGCTTTTATGTGGCATTACAACCAGTTTTATGACACGGATTAACTTTTCTCCTTCTAACCTCAAAGACACCTGCCAGATTCTTAAAAATTAGTAATATTTTTGACAACATGGTGTCACTAAAGATCCCATCTTCCATTTATTTTTTGAAATGATATATCTCACTGTAGAGTATTTGATTAATTTCTTCCATATTACACATTCAGGTAGCACTTTCTGTTAGGCTCTTGTCCATCAGTTTTGCACTAATCTTTTTTTTTTTTTTTTTAATCTTTTAGTAGTCAGGCAATCACTCTTTTACACTATTTCTTCCTGTCTAGCTCAGTGCCTAACATTGCTTCACCACCAAGTATAACTGTTAATAACTTCAATGGCAACTAATAGCAATGGCAAAGTCTCTCCTACTAACAGTATATATTTCATATTAACAAAATGAAATGATGCATTATATAATGACTAAGAGTGAATACTTGTGGTTCTTCTGTCTTTTCTAACATCAAGGTGAGGTTACCGTTATTGTTTTTACATCATGAAATAATTTCAGATTTGAGTGAAAAAAGTGCAGCTTTTCACTGTTCTACTTTATCTGAATTATGATTCAATCTGTAATACAGTAAACACTTGGCACCTCTACCAAGGGGTGTCCAACAGGGATAAGGATATTGTCCTTATTGTACAACATTGTAGAGAAGAGAAAACATTAAAATATTAGAAGTGGCCTAAAGTGTTTAGTGAGCTTTAGACTGATTATTCTATTAAAAAATCCGTTAGCAAACTTTGTTATCTAAAATAATTTGTACCTGAAACCCTTCCATGTGTTAAGATTCAAGCTCTTCTGTGTTGTCTGTCTGTATCTGTAGGAAAAGGGAGATGTCCCCATCTGTAATAGACTGCGAAAAAGCATGAAACATTTTTTAATTATAATGTTATGGTTCCTTGATGATCAGGGAGAGGTCTGGAAATTGAAACTGAGATCAGGCAGGTGTAAGTCACATCGGCTTTGATTGCAAGAGAAAATTACATCTACACAATCACGGTCTAGCTTGAATTGTGCTCTCATATTATCAAATTAAGCTATTAATGTGGTATCCTTAAGGTGAATGTCTTGCAATTATCCATAAAAAATAAAAATTTTAATCAGATCTTGTCTACAGCAAAATATTTCTGAACAGAATGATAGTGAATTTTTTGGTTGGTGAAAATGATTGTACAATATACTATAGAAATCTTATAACCAAAGCGATTAAAAAGAGAATTGCAGTTTGTATGAATATTTCATTATTTTTATGCTTGCAGAACATCAATGTTTTGTCACCAAAAAAATTCATTCTGTTCATATTTCATATCATAATATTAAATGACTGGAAATGTTTATTTCTACTCTATTTTTGTTCAAATGCTACCAATTTTTAATATATATTAATATTTTACAATATGAGAAAAGAAAATGAAAATATTATTTGTAATTTTATGTAGCAATTGGATTTTCCTGCCATTTCATATATGATTGAACAAAACTGCTATAGCAAAGAGGACAATAAATACATTTCTTAAAGAAACAGGAGCAAATACAATAGATCCTTTATACTGCAGTATACACACAAATGCCTCTAATAAACCTGTATTTCCTTATTTTCCCTATTACACTCACTTAACTTGACAGACTGTTTTTTCTGTACCAATCAGTCATGTGCAGAGCTGTCTAGCTGGTGATGACATTCCTGTCCCCAGGCATAGCTCATATAGTCCTTTCTTCTGGTCCATCCACTTCCAAATTGGAGGGCTATATGTACCCATTTCCTTTTCATAAATTCAAGTTGAGTCAGATTGATCTCTGATGTGCACCTCTGCATGTTTAAAATATTAGTAAAATTATTCTTTTCTTACAGGAGCTACCTGTTAGGCCACAGACAGAAAACATTCACTGAGCCAAATTCCACCTTGAAATTTGATAGAGCTGTGTTAGGGAGGTGGGAAGAAGCAACCTGAAATGGACCTTCTCCCTTTGCCCAATGACAATAGATGAAGCAGAAATGACTGAGCTAGATTCTCCATTATTGGGACAAACAACAATAACCACACCATTGAATTAGGAATGGGATTTACCTCTAGCTGTTGTGTCTAAGCCAAGGTTAGGAAATGATGAGAGGGTAAGATGCACTTCTCCTGCTCTGCCAGAGCACAAGCTTTATTTTTATAACTCATATTGGTTTCCAGCCAGATTAAGTCCTTGATCTGATCGATTATGTCTGCATGAGTGCTGATACCAGTACATAGAAAATTGTAGGAACACATTTTTTGGTAATAGCATTCATTTCTAATTATTTGAAGTGATTTTAGAACCTAGCGAAACATCCATACCTAATCCACACTAAATGCATTAACAGGTCAAGGATTTTCTCCAACTCCTTAGTGAAGAGATAATGTGTAAAACAGAATATTGAGTCCAAACCATCTTGATGGCAAAAAACATGTGATATTCTGTTTATATTGTCTTATCAGGGCTTTTCTATCCAGTAGGGTCTACAGAAACGAGGTGATATTTCATAAGGGAACAGGAAAACATGTTAAAGAAAATGAGCAGTGTCAGTATGAAGATGGGAGGTCTTC